TTTCAGCAGATGAATGTGAAAACATCCCTTTAGTGTCAAACTCTGCACACACATCATTGTGCACAGTGAAGATCAAACATCTGGCTGTAGGAACAGGAAGAGATTTTGGATCAGAGGGGGGCTTTAAAGCCGGTCAGCAGTGCACCCAAAGGTCAGCTCATTGATCTATTTGAACTTCTGCAATGATATAGTTGAATATAGTGTAGATAGCTCTGTAGTATATGGTATAAACACACTGGATTTTGCAGTAGTTACATAAACAAACACCTTTTTGAAAGCAGCATTTTACAGCCCTGCATCTGCTTTACTAACAATACCAAAATAGGAGGCGGTGTGTAAATAGTAGCACAAAGCAGCAGAGAGGGAAAATGTCCAGCTGCAGCGTTTCAGTTATTTATCACCACTCCACAATGAATCTGCCAAACAGACGGCGCTAATCTTTTGCTTAAACAAAGTCCATCATCCAAACAACAGAGCAGGACGAACCAGTCAGACAGGATGAGAGCGGTAACCTGGCAGTGGACACACACACAAAACTTAGAGCACTCAATGTTATACTTGAGACACTTAACTAGCGCTTAAGCTCTGTAAATCAACTTAAATCCATCTGCCATAGGGTAAGCTTATACAGATGATAGTGATAATGTAAATCCAGTTCCACCCCAGGCCATCTCAGAGATGTTTGTTGCTGACATGAAGCTATAAAGACATTGTTTTGCCTTTATTCCTGTGGTTCATATGTCAACTCAACAGTCCAGTGTGTTGACGTTTAGTCCAACGGTTCAGCAGCGTTTGTGGCTTGTCAAATTTTAAATGATTTTACTGCCACCTTGTGGATATTTGGCATTATTGCAGCAACATGCACAGCACACGTTTGAGGCAACCACATCCAGAAAGCAGCCAAAATTACGAGCACACGTTCTTTTTCTGATTTCACATGGAACTTTATTACTAACTAGTGTTGTCTTGTATTACGTCCACCTGTCCAAAAGGTCACCAGGCGGCTGCAGGGAGGCAGTGCTGTCATTTACAACCGAGGCACCGTCCGTGCCACCAGTCAGCAGGTTAATAATATTATAAATAGCAACATGTAATACAAATGTCGAGTTGCAAGTCATGTTAAGAACATTTACACAGTACGTTTCTGATAGAAAAATGACCCTTTAAAATCCAGTGCCAGTTTCCTTCAATGTTCCAGTGCAATTAGCAGCTGAATAAAATGGAGTCAACAGAATTTGATACTGTCAGTTTTAGTAAAGGCAGAACCGGAACGATGGCTACAGTATGGATCAGGGCAGGACTGAGGTCTTCAATTCAGTGCCAAAGTCAAATTTTTGATTTCATTTTGGTGCTATTTCGTGATATTTCAAGAGTAATTTACTGTCTTACGAGGCACTCATATGACTTACGTAAAGCAAAAAAAAAAATCAGTTATATTCTTGCCGTTCATATATGAGCATCCCTGATAGACTGTCTTCCCCTGCTCCCTAGCACGATGGCAAGAAGTCCAAGAAAAGACACGACATGTCAAAACGCAGCTGTCCGCAGTTTACCTCGACAGGATGAATCATTGAAACTGGTGATCCATACAGTGCAGTAGAATAGCTACATTACAGGGTTAACGGGCCTGTATCCCTGGCATTACAGAGCACAGAAATAAGTCATTAACATTAAATATAAGATAGCAAATGAGTTCTCTACTTGACCTGTATTTGATTATTTAAATTCACCCCCCTCACACACACACACACAGATAAACTCGGCAGCTTTTATCTGAACTGCTGAATCTCATTATGTGACTGTGCTGTTTGTCCTCGCATCCCATGTTTTTGCAACTTTCTTTCTCTCTTCGCTGTATCGTGACACAAGTTCCCGTACTCTCTCCATAAAAACAAACAAACTGTTAAATATGTGAATATTAGGCAGCACTTTTCAGCCATTGCTAATACGTTACAGTGTGCAACAAACCAGCCCTGTGGCACACGGTCAGCTACGATACACCTCCGTCTCAGTAAAGCGAGGAGGTTATAAGAAAACATGTCTTTTAGTCAGTGTTAATCATTTTAGTTCAGTAGAAAGTCTGGGCTCGGGTAACCAAACAGGTGGAAGTCGCCCTGGTAACGTGCGTAGAGGCGCCTGATGTCCCGCTTGCTGATGCCTGAGAAGTAGTGCTCCACCTTGGTCCTGTTGTAGCGGGTGATGCCTGGAGGAATGGCTGGGTAGGACACCAGCTGGTCGATGCCCGCTGCTTTGAGGATGTACGGGGCGTCTTGCTCCAGCGTCTCGTGGTGGCCCACCACGCTGTAGTGTATTTCGCACGGCGCGCACAAGTCCGCGTAAGTCACCCAGTGAATAATGTGCTCGCCGAACTGCCGGTCCATGCGGCGGCGCCCTTCCACGTCACCCAAGTAACGGACAAAGTCCTCAAAGTGCAGGCCCGAGGCGGCGAGGTCGCTGTCGCGGTGGCTCTTGCGGTACTTACGGATGATGGCGGGAGCGATGTCATGCTTGTACCAAGGCTCGAAGCGTGGGTTCTTCACAAACTTGTCTTTGAATGCAGAAATCAGGCGCTCGAAGGGATCTCTCACGATGAAAAACTTAAAGTAAGTGTTTAATCTGTTGGTGCACATAAAAAGGTTCATGAGAAAATGGTTGTGAAGGATGAAAAGTTGGCCTGTCAAAACACAAAACATCCTTCTGGTGTCAAACTCTGCACAGTGACGCTCAAACATCCCACTGTAGGAGCAAGAAGAAACAGATTTTTGAGAGGAGGAGGGCTTTAACTGACCTGTGAGTAACTTCCTGCGGCGTGAGTGATGAGAGACGGGGCAGGCCGTTCTTCTCGTGGTCATGAACAAGGTTTTCTGGGATCTCCTCCACACTGGAGAAAGCTCCTGTCGAGTCACAGTGAATATGCAGCATCACGTTTACAAAGGTAGGAGATTCCTGCCGTTACTGTCGTGCTTTGCTTCCCATTACTTATCATTATAGTAAATGTTTATTACCTTCATCCTAACACACTCACCGTTGAGCACAATGAGGACCTTCTTCCACTGCGTGTTGCCCACTTTGGGCGTCTGGCAGAACAAGATCTTGTGTTTGTCGCAGACAAAGATGCGGTCCAGGACAAACTTGCTGATGGAGACGTGAGTCAAATTCCTGAGGCTGCTGTTCTTACACACAGTTGAGAGCAACTCGATCCGCCTCTCAGCGACTGACTGCCAGTCTGCCACTGTGGGTTCGGCTGAGGGCTGAGACACACACACACCATTAATATGACTGTTATTGCAGGGAGGAAAAGTGAATGACTTGGATGGAATACAGTTAGCAATCAGCTGCGTTAGTCACCTGATCAGATGGCTTTGGGGCTGTTTTTTCTGGGCTGGACACAGGAATGGGTTTAACCACCTTGGTGCCTGGCACTGTCCAACTCGCACCGCCAACCCTCTCTCCATAGTCTGAAAACACACATTACAGTGGACTGATCACACTTAACCCCCTGTATCTGACTGTATGCAGCGCTCGGCATGAGGAAGAGCTTACCGTCTACAGCTCTGAAGCTGATGAACTTGCTGACAAACATGAGGATGAGCAGCACCCAGCCGCAAGCCCCGAGGAGCAGCCAGTGGTGCCGCATCGCTTCGCCCATCAGCCGACGGCCATGGAAACAACACTGCTCGGCGCTCCCACCTGGACAGACAGCGGACTGAAGACTGTGGACTAAACGAGCTGGCTGTGCGCCTAAATATCAGCTCACAGTCTCCAATACTAACGTGCTGATTACACAGGAATCACTCAAACCAGCCTGCGGTACATTTTAACACGTAGCTAACTTAGTTAACGTCATCTGCGTGACAAGTTATAGGAGTTATTAGCTAATGGGTGTCGTGTGATATTCTGCTTTGAGTTAATGATACGGACAGCTACCAACAACTAGCATTAGCTCATCTACACACAGTGGTAACAGCTCCCGTTCACTGTGTTTAAGCTAACCAGCTAGCCACACCTGTCCCTCCCAGACAGTGAGCAGACAAGAGGAAGACAACTTGGACCCACGCTAGTCTGTCTCGGTGAGGTTAACTCAACATGTCCAACTCGACCCAGCGGCAGAGCGGCTTCGTGTCTCACCTTCTCGTTAAGTTTACAGCCACTTCACAGCCGCACAAACTCCGCAGGAAATGTTGGACGATGCCATCGCGTCCAGTCTGCTGCGTCCCTGTTGTTCCTCACAACATCCGACTGCTCGCTGCTCACAAACAAGTAGCGCCCACTAGCGGCTGCGTGGGGGAACAGCACTTTACTGCCGACCTCAACACAGTTCGCTTTATATTTTCACAGCCGCTGTTGTCTGTGAATGTGAGGATACCCTCTGAACACATTATCTATAGCTGCTGCATACAGTTAACAGGAGAGTTCAGACATGGTGATGTTACTGAGATATGGCCTTTCTAAATACATGGCTAAAAGGCTTGGACTGAACAAAAACCCCATTCAGGGTGGAATATTTCAAATGCATCATGCATAGTTCAGTTGTTTTTATGGGCTGCACTTCTCCAATGTGTTAAATAGCACTTAGTATTTCCTGAGTGCTTAATAAAAAGTCTAGATGAAATTCTTCCATTATGTAGTCATCATAATTTCAACAGCCTGCATATCCAGCTGAATGTTGAGTTGGACGCATCTGACATTTTATACTGTTCATATCGGAGCCTAACATCAATGACATGTCAGGGTTTTTTGCACAAAAAACAAACACAGAAGACTCCCAATCCATTAC